GAAATCCACATGCCTAAGCAAAATACTCTTGTCCCTGTTTATAAAGGACTTAAAGCTTGTGTCCCTAAAAATGTGAAACAACACACAAAAATAGTATATATATACATACATACACGTATGTAAAGAGCAAAATAAATTTGCACATATCGGATTGAGTGAATAATTTTGTAAAAAACCAAACACCGCAGCAGACATTTGAGGCACTACATATTCGTATGTAACGAGCGCTGCATGATGTAAATATATGCGGCATTGATTGGTGGCAAGTGTGAGCAACAGACGATTTCAGTAACAACAAAACAAATATTTCGGCTTATTTAAACACAACCAAGAATTGAACCAAATTATTTTGTATGCAAAACTATCAATGACTAAGCAGCACACAGGGCAGTAGCCCAGCAACCCAGCAGTAAGAGGGAGGGAAGTGAATGGATTAGGAGCATGAAAGCCACTAAACTGCAGCTGGGACACTACCGCACACTACGGTTGTTGGATTTTTGTAGAATGTTTCGTAAATCAATGCTTAGCCAGCCCTCCTGGAGCCAGACACAGGACAGACACACATAGCCGCTCGGCGCTCGGCGCTCGGCGCTGCGCTCATTCATTTTAAATAAACAATCAACCAAATAACCAACTCTGGAGTGCAATTAAAATTCAAGCAAAGTTTCAACAAGCACATGTAATACGAGTATCTATAGCTTACAGCTAAGCTCAAAATGCATACATACATACATACATACATACATACATATGTACATATGTACATGCATACTTGCAAAAGAGTAACTAGGCAAAGGCAACCACCGACAAACACACACCTACATAAGCAAGTAATAATTTTATGCTCGAGCACGCGGCAACATGTTTACAAAATCAATTAAACTTTTCGTCAATATGAGGAAAATTCATGAAAATTTCTAAAGGAAATTGAGGAGTTTAATAGCGAACACACACACACACAAAGACAAATACAGCATCACAACTACAGGAATTTCATCAACGAAACTGCAGCGAAAGTTTGTGAGACATACATACATATAGCCAGCAAATATGTAAGTACGCGCTCAAGCAGTAGAGACGAAAAGTGAAACAATGCTGTCCAATATTCGAACCCATCGTCACTGAAGTGTTCTCTGTATAAACACCGGAGACAATGCCATTGTGTTGTTACAAAGTAGAATTTAACGAAACTAAACTCGCAACGGCTAAGGATCTGAAGTTGTTTCAATGCAAGCGGCGTCGCAGATGAGGCTGGTAGTTACTTGTAGAACCAAAGTTAAGTTAAAAAATCCGAAATGGTTATATTTACCAAGGGGTACAAACCGCCTTCTTATAAGCCACCTACAACGCCTGCGGGTTAGGGGCTCAAGAACTTACCCGCGGTAGGGCATGCCTGTCCTAAGAGGCGATCAAATCCAATAGCTCCCCGCGGGTCTTTATACCGGAACGTTCCGGAGTTTTTATCCGGCCAAAGACTGTAACTCCCGCAAAAAACTACTTTGGAGAATATTTTTGCGGTCACAACAACAGCAACAAGCCACTTACACTAAAGCGCGTGGAGATCAACACCTCTTCTGAAGTTAAATATTTCGGGGATAACCTTACATAGCAAGCTCAGCTGGAGCCCGAATATGACAGAATTTTACCCTTGCAAAACGGCGATAGAAAAAAAAATAAGGACTAACACCGAATATCGTGTACTGGATTTATATGGCGATAGTTGGACCACGACCGGGGAGGCCGAGTAGTCAACATCGCGTCCTGCCATATAAGTTAGATTTTATAATTGCGATGTGTTTTCGATGTGTTTGAAGGCGGCTTAGTATAAGCCCCAAACCTCAAATTGGTCGAGGAGCTCGGCTGAAAAACGCTTCGGCGGTTACAAAACCCTAATTAAATAGAGAGTTCAACGGTCGGTTGTTATCCTGTTGACATGAGCATCGCCATTAACTCCCTCAAAAGCAGTGTTAACTCTTCTCAACTTCCTACCTTTCGATCTGCACTGCAAATTACAAGCGAACTGTAACGCTGGACTGCATCACCTCCAGGATGTGTCTCGACAATCTTCACGATAAATCCAAACAGAATTTAATGCGAAATCGCAAATGCTCTCGATCAGGAAGCCACTGCGATCTCTACAAACGATTCAAAGCTCGATGAAAAAGGAGCTGTTTGAAATCATGGCAGCCGCCGAGAGACTGCTTATATCTACGGTAGCAGGACAATCAGTTTCGATGTAGTCAAGGTGTGATATCAAAATTGACTATAAAATATGAAAGCAATAAAAACAAACTCTCAACTGAAGGCAACACCGCCGTGCTCTGTGTTCCCGAACACAGTGACATCCCAAGCAATTGCGTGGCGGAGAAACTAGCGAGAGCAAGAACCCTTCCATCTACAATAAAATAGGGATGATGCAGGCTTATATTGTAGATATACTTAAGCTGTCCTTTGCCATAGAAGCAGGATAGCTAATAGTTAACAGAATGAGATTACGTGCAACATAACAGCAATGGCCAAAATTGGACAGGAAAAGATCTAAACATCTTGTCATTATAGAGCGGTTTTCCATTAAGATAACTACATAATTTCAAGCCACAGTTTAATGGGGATTCATTGGAAAACCACGACCTTCCTACCACGTGGATGATTCTTGCCACAGGTGGATAGAGGAAGAACAGGTAGAGCCTATTACACACTACCTCTATCGCTGACTAGCTTTGACATCTGCACGACACAAGTTCCTCCATAAACGCTTCTTAGAATGTCGCTCTGAAGTAGCTACACCGAAAATTTGTAACCTTGTTGCTTTTATTGGGACCCGGAAAGGTTCAACGGTTGAGAAGGTGAAGACAGGAGCCTCACAGCGGTATCAAGTTGGGTATATTGGCCTAAGTTCACGTTAGTTAAATCAACTCAATTCAAGTTAAGGTCCTTCTGCAAAGAGTAGACAGTAGAAAGTATCCTTTACAAATTACTAAACATTCAATGAATACCATTTGTAGAACCGGGTCCACAAGTAAAGTTTTTTTAAATTGCGTTAACCACGTTGAAGTCGGAATCGGTGATAAAGCACTATTGTCTTACGCATATCAATATCAAGTTCATTTCAGTATCCTTATAGCTATGGTTTGCATTTGGGGTAGAAATCTTTGCAAATTTCAGACCCGAACTCAACTGTTCTTATCTGTATTGACAAAACAGACCTTCAGAAGGATATACTGGAAACCGAGATCGATATTAGATATGAGTAGCCATTTTAAGCATTCCGTTGATCGAAAGATCGCATTAGCATTAACGTGGGATCATCGTTGCTGCCCAGAACATCCAAAATTATAGAAAATGTATTAAAAAAAATAAATGTAATAAATTTCAAATCTCTCAGCAGGGTATTTAAATCCCTACGAGTGCATATCTGACAATTAAAAGGCTCTTAATAAAAACTTATTGACTATTCGGGATCAGCTCTGAATAAACAACAGATCCCTCTAATGGTCGGAAATACATCAACTGGAAAGCGTTAAATTTACGTAAACCGCACGCGACCCCAATCCCTTCAAAGTCTTACGACGAAGGCGATATTAGCAGAGTTTTAGTCTCAAGAAGAGAATAAGCCTCGCGACCAATACTCAATACGAAATCGAAACTCCGTCACATCTCTAAACCAGCCAACATGACACTGATGGCATTGTTGTTATTTAGCTGTATATAAACATTTGTGGCATCTCGCACATTCAGCGCCAATAATGTCAGCAATCCTATTAAGCAATAAGGAAGTAAGTAGTGAAACGCGACAGGAATAGAAAGCCGCCGTCGGCTGGGGGGTGTGTAGAACAATGCAAGCATTCATGCAAGGATGTGCATTGTTTTAAGCAGCTTGAGCAACTTCTCACAAGAATGGCTAAGTTTAATTATATACAGGCAAAAGTAACTACATACATATGTACATAGAAGAGTACTTCAAGCGCGCTGTAGATATCATGTGTCAAAGTAGTTGGGCTAAACGAGACACATATGAACGTACATATGCTCCTAAAGATCCAAACAGGAAAACCGAAAATAAATTAAATTTCTCTAATGCATTCCTAACTTAAAAGAAAAAAATATTTGCAGTATGAATCTCTACTTGAGTATTTTTTTTTTTTTTTTAAAGAACGTTCGAGATCTTAGAAATACGCTTATGCCACTCTAAGATTTTCGAAAACGATGTTTTGTTTGTTTTGTTCACAAAGTACCTTTGGGTCCTAAAACTAATATGCAATTGGTTTTAAAGTGAAAAAATATTTCAAAGAGCTGCAGCCCCTCTGCGCGTGCGCTGAGTACAATGAAAACTTCAAACGCGTTTTTTTCAAAATCACATTTTTCAAACTGGGAGGACAGATTACTTGGACCCTATTACATCGATTTATCTGATACTTTGATGATAACTTCACAAATAATGAATTTGGAAGTACGTAGCCGTTTCTCGATGAAATGCACATTTTTGTTAAATAATTTAGTGCGTAAATTTTAGTCAAAAATCAATTTAAAAAAAAAAGTTTAAAAATAAATGCGTGCGTACTTCCAAAGACCATAGTTTGTAGATCATAAAACTTTATGCTTTTTTTTCTAGGCCTCATCCTTTATGAGAAATCGGTTCTCCTGTGGAATCCCTTCAAAAAAGGCGTGGAATAAATTAATAGATTTTATCACCGCCGTTTTGTAACAAAATAATAATTTTAGATTATTTTTTATACTTCAATATACATACATATGTTCAATTAAATGGTTAAATAAAAATTCTTTTTTTCTTTTTTTTTTCATTTTAAAAGCGAGCTTATTCTTCAACCTTTACGTGGTGGTTTTACCCCTTAATGAACATAGCATCGTCTACGTGGAATTTTCGAAGTATTCGCGCAGCTGAGCTGAGCACTCTTCTGAGAACCACTCAAGATATTTTTCTTTAATTTCCTACTGGAATTTACATAAGTATTTATGTATACACTACGTTATATACTTACTTGGTGCTATGTGCCTCATTGTAGTTCATTAACAAATGCAATATTGTCTCTCGATATTCCAATACATAGCAGACATTATTCAATAACATATCGAAGAGAGCCAAAGCTCGATCGTCCTTAACTTTCTGCAATGCCAACAAGCTCAACAACAATTCACGGAATGTCTTTAATTAAAGAAAATAAAAAGACGAAAATAATGAGGAGCAGAACAAAAGAGAGATATAAATATAATACACAGTATATATATATTTAAATGCATATGTACATATAATTTAAGTATATTTATATAGTTAATGTAAAGAAAACACGCCAAGCCAGTAGCTGAAATAATAATCAATAAAATATATTGGAGTTTGACCGTTAAATCGAAATTAAAGGTTGGCACTGTTGGTATACGCAAATTAATTTAAGATAGGAAATTAAATGGTTTACTTTTAGTTAATTAAATTACGTGGGCAACTCGAAACACCATCTTTTAACTCCTGACAGTCTTCTGAAGTAAAAAATCTGAAAATAAGACAGTTTGCCTTTGAGGCCAATAGCTTGAAGGCTCTGTAGACACTTTCGAAATACAGAGTGCCCCATCTGCTGGGATAGCATTTGAAACTTGTGTAACTTTTGATAGAAAAAAAAATTTTATTTGTTGCTTTCTATTTTATTTACAACATTTTTGAATATGATATTCGACAAATGACCCTCTTCATTTTTGATACAAAATGTTGTACTTTTTCGTGCCTTTTTTCATCATATTTTCCAGCGTTTTGGTGGTAGTAAGTGATATTTCCCAGGGATGCAGACTTTGCCCTGTAAATAAATAACCCCACAAAAAGAAGTCCGACAGCTTCAAATTTGGTTGAGCGCGGCGGTGAGTCGAAATCGCCATTTGACGCCTTATTGACGCGACAAATATGTGCAGTGGCGCCGCTGTTAGAACCAGAAGCATTGTTCTGTAGAACGCGCCGTTGATCGTAAAATACGGTTTGTTGATCTTTTTGGACATTTTTTTTTTTTTTTTTCAAATAGATCGATCCGCTTTCCTTAAAAAATAATTTCAAGTAAATCGAACCATAAATGCGATTTTTCGCTGATCCGCTTTCCCAAAATTTGTTTTCGTATAAGCCTTTCCAGGAACATACGATTCTTATATATTATACAAAATACATAATTATTACGAGTGTATATAGAGTATATTCATTAAGATCGCCAAACCTCGCGAAATACTAAAAAGATTTGGCTAGTTTTGATTTTGAAATCTTCGTAGAAGTTTAGGGAAGGTTTAAACGGTTAGAAACAATTGTGATTTGTGCCATGGACCGTAGTTTTTTTCGTTTAATTATTCAAATTATGTTTATGATTTAAATTGGTTGAGTTTTTGTACGATCGGTTTGCATTAAAAATTAGTAAGTTTTTAGCTTTTTGTCTAGATTAATTTCGAGAGAGGAGATTATCACCAAACCGATGAAAATTGGTATGATGTGGTACACTACGACTGCAGGTTGTTTGGAGTTAGACAGAGCATCTAAGAGTCGATTTTTCAGATATGAGATTTTGCGTGGCTTCTGTTGACTTGGCTCTAAACGCGTATGCAGTGTCTAGGCGAAAAAAAGGTGAAAATGGAAATTGAAGGATCTATGAGAACATTACGACTACAATGTGTTCAACTAAATATGTTATATTATTGTAGGAAAGTCATCACGAGTCAAATATCCTCTGGATCGAGTCCTAAATATTCAATAATACTCCTCTTAAGACGATATCCTCTCTCAGAGATATTTTCGATATGTAATAAGAAGCCAATCAAAAAATATTGCAGCCGTTCAAAAGCAGCTTAGATTGTACGGCAAATCGTTTCATTTGAGGAGAAGACCTTAAGACGCAAAACACAAGCTGGCGTTTTGAATACCATGGTGAGCAAAGAAGATATCTTTGATACAACGGTCGGAAAATTCAGCCTTCACAGCGAAACATCGCGTAATGGGTTGAGGCTGATCGAACCGAAATATGGTTGTCTGTAGTACTAGATTTCTAGCACAAAAAATACATCAAGCTACTTGCCTGTCGCCTGATCAAAAAACACAAAATCAGATAAATCATGTTGTAATAGACGGAAGGCATGTTTCCAGTGTTTTTTTTTCGTGCATACACTTCAAGGACCCAACATTGACTCGGACCACTATTTTGTTGCAGCGTCAAAAAACACAAGGAAGGTTTGACGTTGAAAAGCTGGAATCACTACAGACTGCCAATTTTCTACTTGACTTGCACATCTGCTCTCTCATCAGCAACTCGGTATACGGGACCTGTGGGATGGCATTTCAAGCTCTTTACATGCAGCTGCAAACGAAATTATTGGATTTCGTAAGGTCGTAAAAGCAGCTGGTACGATGAGAAGTGCCGTGTCGCGCTGGAGGGACAACAGACTCCCTGCCTCGAAACGTTACGATCGACCACAATACGTGCGGGATGGGATAGATATCGAGAGCTGAAAAGGGAAGGAAGACGAATCTGCAGAAAAAAAGAAGAGAGTATAAAGAGCTTGACAAGGGTAATACTCGAAAATTCTGCGAAAACATACATTACATTTTATAACCAGAGCAGACTCTTATGGGGCACAAAGAGGTGATCTACCCATCGCTACCCGGAGTGTGATGAATCGATGACGGTGGAAAAGACGCTTCTTTACTTCAGTATGTTGAAGTTCGAATAACAATAGCCCGCTTAAAAAACAACAAAGCGGCAGGCTGATAGCCCACCGGCAAAGCTATTCATACGTGACGGTGGTAAGATGCATGCATCAGCTTGTTTGCAAAATATGGTCGGACGAAAGCATGGCCGACGATTGGAATTTAAGTGTACTCTGCCCAATCCATAAAAAGGAGACCCGACAGTCTACGCCAATTATCGTGGAATAAACCTCCTTAATATCGCGTCGTGAGTTCTGCTTTCTCCAGACTGGATAAGGAAGCGAAAGGTATGGGTCTGGTCTGGCGGTTTCTACCCCAGTAAGGTAGGTAAGTAAGTAATACTTCATAGTGAACAGTCAACTATTTCCGATTCCATATCTTTAACCTTAATGGTTGGATTGCTTATGCAAATATCAGCTACACTCAGCAAACACAATCAATTTCCTCCCATTTCCAGACAAAACAAATTCCCTTGACTGTGAAAAGGTATGCGCAAAAGTTTTTCTATTAATTCACAAACATCTAATTAAGCAAAACGTACCTAAAGAAGCGGAAGAGTAGTGCGGGGGGAAAAAAGAGATAGCAAAGTAGTTTATACGCATTTCTAATGAGTATAAACGCCGACTTAACAAGTCAAGCTGGGAAAGGCTACGATGTCAAAAGAAGCGTTAAGAACACTTCAAGCATCATTCATTCACAATCAAGCGCCGGCAAATAGACAGACCAACAGACACTGCGTTGAGTACGGCGGCAAGTTGCTTAACACGATTCCTTGGCACTTTACAAGTAAAGTCACTAGCCACCTCTACTCGTGTGTTGATCAGCGCTGCTTGGAGGACTATAGTTAACTTTAAAAAAACGAGTAAGGTGAAGACGGAATGAGTCGGCGGGAACAGGTATTAATTAACGCAAGACCCGACACAGTAGACATGCGCTGAATTCGATTCGTGTTAATGAACCGTCGACAGCAAATGGCGAATTCAGGTGCCATCGCCACCATATCTTCTCTCGATATAGCACAGCTACGGGTGTGAGGGCTCAGAGGCGGGCACGTAAATGCAATGAAGTGCAAAAAGCAGCTTTTCTTGCAAAATAATCTTTATGTAAAATGCCACACGTGACTTTGCATCAGTAAGTATTTCAAATTTTTTTTTCGTTACAACTAGACTACAGTTAGCTTTTCGTTGAGGTAAGTGTGTATTAATGAGTTGTGGAGCGGGAGACATAACCCAACAAACATGGGAAAGAATATTTCGGGAAACGTTGAGGAGTTTGTCTTTCATATTTCATAACAGGAGAACAATAGTAAGCGTCTCAAAGTCAGTATTGACGGATTTTATTTTACTTAGTCTAACAATCTCCAAGCCAGGATGGATGGCCAGGAAAGATTTATTGTATGTTTGATGGAATTAGCAAGAAATTCTCCACTATGAGCTGCTCCCCCAAGGCCAAACTCTTAACTCGGACCCGTACTATCAGCAATTGAACCGTCTAAAGGATGTAATCTCCCTTGGTCAACAGGAGGTGCATTGTGTTTCATCAGTACAACGGTAGACCAAAAACAGTGACTAGCCAGAACCTCCGGGAGATTGGTTGCATATACCGTACAGTCCGTACCTCGCACCAAGTGATTATCATCTGTTGCTGTATATGACGATGAATTTGGCTGATGAAAAATTCGCCTAAAAAGAGAAGTCTGTGAAAATTATTGAAAGATAACTGCTAGGAAGAGCTGCCTGCCAACAACTTTTGTTTTCGAGTTCATACGCCCATGTATGTATTTCCCACTGAAGATCTGCCTCGAGAGACCCGCGTAATACTAGCGGAACTTAGGTCTGGATATCGTAGCAGGTGAAACTCCTGCCTATCCAGACTAAACCTCGACATACCCAATGGCCTACAGCATGTAATGAGTCCCCGCCCACCTCTTCGCACCCCGCAACATTTAACTTCCCTCTCCCTCTGGTCCGAACCTGACGAAACAGCTCGTTTCTTGGATCTCCTGTTAGATGACCCCGGTGACATAGACTAACTAGCCTGTCCCTAGGCGGATTGGAACAACCGCTATAACAACAACAAGAACAACATGACATAGCCGTATTTCTAACCACCGCTACCGTATTTTTTTAATATTTCTTCCCACCCATCGAGACGAGTATTTTTTTGAGCGATGAAAAACTCTATTAGTTCCAAAGTGTCATGCAATATTGAATGTATGCAGGTCTCACTAATGGGGTCTCAATTTTAAGATAGGTCACAAGACGATCTTGCATTATCAGTTTGTGCTAAGCGACAATAGTTTCCAGACCAACTACTGATCGTGGACGACCTTCACGATATGCGTCTTTGAATGATCTACAACCTTGATTGAATTCATCATACCATTAATAAGCACCTTTCCTGGATGGAGCTTCAACGCCGAAAATTGAATAAAGCTCAACGATTTACTGTTGCTGAATTTATCCACGACGAAAAGATAATTTTCTGTTTCTCCCACCATTTATTTGGAAGACGATTAATGCCGAGAATCCCATTAAAAAAAAACACATCAGCAGTTCATTAAATATGTATTTCGAAAGTCTCAAAAGAGCTCTTCATACTTCGGAAGTGAGTTAAAATATCGTGCCCAGAAATGCGTTGTTATCTTCAAGTTGACAATAACATTTTTCTCAAGTTGAGAACAATATTATTCGCAAGCTGAATCTCAAACGTCTTTGAAAACAAATATCCTTTTTGGCTTTTGAATCTTAAATTCTACGGTGAGAAATAATGAGATTTCTACTTACATCACATCTGAACTCGCGCCCAAATGTTTATTGGGTTCCTCAACTGGTAGTAGTGAGTGATTTGACTTCTTTTTGATTTTCTTTTGGCATCGCCTGCCAACTTCTTTGCAACTTTTGGTTTCTTAACATTCTCAAGACGTTGCACTTTCACCTAATAACCGTAAAATGTGATAAGTCACTGCCGTTTGAATGTTGCTTGGCAAAACTCCAATGCACCACACAAACGTCGCCGCTGCCGCCACTGTTACTTCCGCAACTGCCGCTGTCATGTTACACATTTACGGGACATGGAACGGATGTGCAAGCAAATTTGTGGCAAGTTTCATCAACAGCCACGTGGAAGGGCTGAGGTGGTTGAGGTGAGGGAAAATAAAGGGAAATAAAATGTAAGTTAAGTGATGAGAATGAAGAGAGCATAAAAATGAACGAGACAAGTGAATTGCATTTGCAAATAAGGTTGAGCCCCACAAAAGTAACAGACAAACCCAATAAACAGTTAGAGCTGAGTTCAGCTGTGGGATAAGACCAGTGGATAGATATTGAGGAGCTCGCGCACACATCTAGCCCACTGAAAAGCAACTCCTGTATGGATTTATAATGTAACAAAGATTGTGATTTCAATAACGTATAAGATCAAGTGAACCACAGATCCTCTTCAAGTCATGCAGTCAGAAGCATTATGCGATTTTTTTCTCTTTACCTAGATAATCGGTCAGTAGATTTTAGACAAGCCCCGCAGACTCACTCTCTCACGAATTCGATCAGACAAGGGACAAGGGACAGACCGTAATTGGAATCTTGAGGTCATAATGAATTTCTCTACCACTCACCATTCACTATGGACCCATATCCTTGTATATAGAGTAGTAGTCCAGCGTTCGCTGAAGCACCTGAAGCCCTTTCATAGACCACAGGTTAAGAGAAGCGCTCAACGCAAGGATTTCAATATGTGACGTGAGAAAGTGACTGGTTTCAATAGCAAACAGGAAATACGTATGAGAGCAGAGGAATAAGCTGATGACAAGTTTAAGTTGAAAGATCCTATGCTGCGTATCTCCCCCCGAGCGTAAAATATATTGAATTAAAGAAGAGAGGCCTTCATTCGATTTTACAAGTTCTAATGCCGTCTATAATAGTACCATGGCACTAAAGCCCAATTTCTCGCTTATTATTGGCTCAATGTTTTTCTATGGGACCTAAGGCTGCGTGATTACTATGTATGACTCACCAGAACACAGTACATACTGAGCGCTACAATCTCTTTAAGTCGAATACTTAACGTCGTGAAAAGTGCTCATATCCATGCTCTGAGAGAAAAGTTGATTTAACGTTTTTAAAATTCTTCTTCTCTTAGCTGTTCGGCGTCAATTGGCGTCACAAAGTCCAGCTTGACACTTTTACTTTGCAACAGATCTGAGGTTTCCCCTCTTCCGTTAGGCGTCGGAAACTTTCAAAGTTGGTGTATTATCGCCCATCTCATTGTTCCATAGTCTACGATACTCATCGTTGCGAATGCACAAAGTCCTTTAAATCTTTCTCAGGACCTTTTTTTCAAAAACTCCCAGCGTCGACTCATAAGATGTCGTTTTCCTCGCACACTTATGCACGATATAGCAAAACGGGAATGATGAGGGACTTGTAGAACTTAGTTTTTGTTCGACGAGTAAAAATTTAACTTCGCATATGCCTACTTATATGTAAGACTGATTATTCCGTAAACTTCAAGGCTGGCATGGTTGTTAATTGTATTGCTGGTTCCCTAGATAGATGATTTTCACACCATCACAGTAATAACGGCAGTTACGTCGAAGCCAAGATGGGTATACGTGGACTGTTTTTTGATGTCTAGAGTTATTTTGTCTTCGTTCCCTACCGGACCGAACCCAACGGCTCGTTTGGTACCGACTCGAAGAGAACCTTCGCGATCCTGATGAAACTTTTGGTCTTGCTCAGCCTTAGTTTACACAGCTGTTTTAGTTTTAAACATAGTGGCAAGGTAATTGAGTTAGAGGAGCTAGAACTTGAGATATACTTGACGCTCACTCTTAAAAGTTCTAATACCGAAACGCTCCAAATTTTACCCAATGAAGAAAAATAATTTTTCGACGGCGACAAAAAGTAGTCTCTTTCAACAGCTAAAGAACATCGTTTGGAAAATAAAATTCGAATAAATGGCGTTGGTGTGTAGATGTTTCTGAAAACTTTTTTCAGAGTTCAAAACCTCTTTCGCTCTCCTACTGCAAAGTACTCCGGAAAAGCCAAGAAAATGAAGGAAGCGCAACTGGTTTTAGATATTTATATTCTGCTTATGTACACGCATTTAAATATATAGAAAAGATTATATACATATGTACATGGAAAGAAATCCACTCACCTGTAGTGCGACATGTAAACGCTTCGCCCAGACGCGCGCCTGCTTCTTGTCGCTGACAATCATGTCCATATCATGTTGCATACGCGTTAGGACCCAATGGAAGCACTGCACGCTCAACGACTCACTGCCAGTAAGTTAAAGAAAAAAGAAAGAAAAAAAACACAGCGAAGGAGGATAAGATAAGAATGCGCCACAAAAGATAAGTATAAGTGTAAAAGCGTGGAAAAGTGAAGTGATGAGTTTAAGTGTTAAGAAATTAAAATTCAAATACAAGAGAAGTAGTAAGAAAAACGCAGTCTCGACGCTTCGGAGTAGAGAACTCCTGCAGCGGCAGGTGGACGGATGCAACGTACTCGTATACGAGTATGTGGCAAACAGTAGCTGAAGTCATTAACGAAATTACAGACAGAGATACGCACAAGTGCGCACACTTCAACAAGTGCGCGTAGACACGTAAGTTCCGACGATGAAGCCCTGACGTCTCTTGAATGTGCAAAGAAAATATGTTGAGTAGAATTTATGCGAGTGCAAGTAGTTTGGGATGGAAAAATGCGCGTTTGTGTGTGTGTGTGCATGTGGAAAGGATAAAAGTTCCGACTATTTTCTTACAATTTTTCTGTGTTAATTACGCAAATGTTTAATCCTCAGATTAGAACAAAAAGGAAAATTATACAAACAGAAATTGTTATAGTGAGATAAGCCTTTAATTAGTTATAAGTTTGTTTATTCTTTTGCGCTTTTTATTCCGTAGAAAAAGTGTCTTTTGTGCGTCATTTGCCTCCACTTGCTTCATTTACTAAACGCGTTAGTTGTTTGATCCCAAGCTATTGGGGATGTCACCAATGTCTGCACATATGTCTAGGGCTTTTCAATAAGAAGTGTTATTTTGATATTCAAAGAAAAATTGCATATTTGGAGAAAAATTATCGAATGTTTTTTTTTTTTCAAAGAAAAGAGGAAGATTTGTCGTTGATGATGAAAAAAATTACCAGCCAAATGACGGAGCGTACACTCTTTATGAAATTTCCCATTACCAAATCGCAAAGTAGCTCTTGTATGCCATCAATGGCTTCACGAATTCCATTTTTGAAGTTTTGAATCGACTAGATCTTTCACATGGTCCCAAAGGCAGAAGTCGCAAGGTGTAAATCACAAGATCTCGGTGGCCAATTGCAATCACCTCTTGTAGAGATATCACAGTGCGGAAACTCTTTCCTTAAAAGATTAATGGTTTCGTTGCTTGTGTGGCCCATAACACCGTGTTGATACGTTATCCAGATCATTACCAACTAGTTCCGGCCATAAAAAATAGCCATAAAAATTAATCAACTTTAGACAGCGCAATCCAGTCACTATAATATTGCTCTAGGCTAATTTTCGAAAAATTAAGATCCAATGACCCCGCCGTACCACAGACTGCACCAAAAACTTACACTTTAAGGAAGAAGAAGCTTTACAACAATAAATCTGGGGTTTTCCGAGTCCCAGATGTCACAGTTTTGCTTATTGACGAAACCGTCGGCGTGGAAACGGATCTTATCAGTCAACATGATTTTTCGACGAAATGCTGACTGACTGATTAAAATGATGTTAATGCATTTCCAACACCTAATCAGCAAAGACACGAGGTTGTTGATGATTGGTCGACTTAAATTTTTGTATTAACTGAACTTTATAAGCCTTAGGAGCAAAGTATTTATGTTTTAGTCTCACAAACTGTCCTTCCTGGCGTAGTCTTTACTTGTCAAAAGTCACAAAAGGTATTCCATTTGCAATTTAGTGTTTCCGTTCACGAGTCATCTCTGGATAGCAAGGTCAAAGACCGAATATAGTGTACTGAACTTATACGACAGTAGTTAGACCTATCTTATTATACCGCAAACTAGAGTCCAATGGTCGGCTGCTATCCTGGTAATAGACTAGTGCTAGCAACTACATAAAAAGCCTTGCTGACTCTTCTCTACTTCCTTGCTCTGAACTCTGAACGACAAATTACAAGCGAGCTATAACGCGATTAGACTGAATCCAACCCAACCTTGGAAGAATTACGGAATATGGCACGCTAAAATATTATCCCTTGCTAATCTTCCGAAAGAGCTAGACTTCGCCAACTCCAGTATGTCCTTCGACAATTTTTTTCTACGGGAATTTCAATCATAAATTAATGGGGAAACACAAATACCTTAGATCTTTACAGACAAGTCAAAGCTCGATGAAAAACTGGGCTGTGAAATTCACTCTCCAGTGCTCGCAATAAGCATGAGACTACCAGACCATTGCAGCGTCTTCCCGGTTTTATACCGGTTCTCCATTAACATTACGGCAAGTATTATAAGAGGTCACTGTTTCATTTGGCTTAATGGTGAAAAGCTGTAGAGACGAAGTAGAGGAAGAGTATATTAAACTTTACCTCTGTCTCTGCCCAGTCAGTGAAGTCAGCACCATACAAGTTCCTCTGCTAATACTTTTTCAACCTCGCAATGGTGTTATTAGTCCAAGCAGCCTCAACTCAACATAACTAAGAGAGTCTATGGATGGTTGCGGTAACGGCTTTCCACTTAAAATAATCTAACTGAGTCATATCATAGCTGCGAGGGGGCGAGTTGGCATCGCCGGTTCGGCTAATTATGTGTTTTCCGATGTCAAATATCGACTATAAACTTGGCTGTGTGGCACGTAGCGCAAGTAGTTCTGTTGAACAAATGATCTCTGAGCATGACACGTTAATGATCACGATTGCCGGTAAAGACAGCTCTTTCCTTGTTTTCGAAGAAAAAAGGCTAATTATACTACGAGTCTACAAGCCGCACCAAACTGTCCCTCACCGAGTAAGCAGTGATTTTTTCCATAGTAACATGTGAGTTTTCTAAGCCTCAGAAAGATAAAAATGCTCATCTTCTGCCAAACGATCTTAAGCCAACGGATCATAAACTTCGCAATACATAAAATGGGTCCTCACTGGCACTGCTACCGAAAATTTACTGATGTCATTTGTTAACTCTTTACCGTGCGTTGAATGAATGTAGGCTCTGAGATCTGTAGCTTCTACCAAGCTAAGTAGTGATCACCGCTACAAACATTTTCTAGAGACAGACACATCCGAAATTATATACTAAATTATCGGTACTTCGTCCATCGCAACTTTTTATAGGCACTGAGCTGATCATTGAATCGGCAGTTCCCTACTTGTGAATGACGTAATTGGAATCAACGTTCCCTTAAGTCTCAAGCTGTCTTTTAAAACTTAGCACAGTTTAGGTCTGGATACTTTCAACCTGGATATCTCAAAAAGAAATCGCCTCAGAGATATAAATGTAGTTTTTCTTGCCTTTAGGCTGAGCTCAAGTAGTCCATTTTGATAATTATAATGAACCGATAAAATTTTTGTTGTTCGTCTTGGAAGGACCTTCACTTTTTCCCCCCGATGAGAGCCAACCGAGGACGACGACGTGTGCAAAATTTCTAAGGATTAATTTGAGATAATGCAGCTCAAATGTCCGGTATATTAACTTGGAAGGTGTCGCTGTCCAGATGGTTGATGTCCTCCTAATATTTAAAGCGAAAAATTGCCTTGGGTGGGGAAGAAAAGGACGAGCTGTCTTCAAAAAATACAGTTTTAATAAACACACAGATCGTACCTATGTGCTCAGCCTTGGCACGCTGGCAAAAGCAAAGTACAATTTTTGGTATATTCGGAACAACATTTGAAAAATTCAATCTCCGTTACGTTCTTAAAAGAGCTGAACTTGATCAACTTCACCGGAGCCCGAAAAATGGCTGTCTTTAGTAGCCGATATAGGCAAACTACATGACTGCCAGCGGATCCTAAATAGCGCAACCAAATCAACATCACTGGTGCGATAGCCGGAGAATATATTTCCAGTTCCGAAGAACCAATATCAGCTCGGATCAATATCTTGTCGCACAGAAGGCACGCAACCGCATCTGTGCAGCAAAGAATGCTCGCCACACAAGTGGCTAAAAAGCGTTTTACTCGACTTACATACCTGTTTTCGGGGAGCACTCATCAGTAACTAGATATAAGTGAAGCTCCCTACATACAGTCACTACAGAAACAATTGGTTTTCAACAATGTATCGTAGGGCAGAGGACAGTCTATCACACAACCGAGGGACGTATTTGCAGGCAGAAAAAGTAAGAGCGCTACAGGTGTACGTATTTGGAGCTTGAGACGCTGGGCGACAAGAGGTAAAGGAAGCTTTAAAAGGTTTTAAAACCGTACCATACTCATGTAGGAGCCAAGGAAATAATATGATGACCGATGTCAGCCTCGAAACCCAACACAAAATTACTGTTGCGAACAGGTGCTACTAGGGACAGAGTTGGCAATTGAAAAATGCGTTCTCTCGACGAACAGGTGCTTTACTGTACAGTCACCTCATCTTTTACGTCCTGCCTGACATTGAAATATTTTATTTTTAGAGGGAGCTACTAAGCCATCACCTTCGAATGCATCAAAGCTCTTCGGAAAGACAGCCACTCCATTAGAAGAACCAGGTGGAGAGCGATTTAGTTTCACTTAACATCAAACAAGGATTCGGTTATAATCGTGCAACGTCCATTAAGAAGAGATATTCATACATAAATGAAAAAAACAAGTCAACATAGAGGTGACAGAGAGAGGACTAAACTTGAGTCTCTAAACCAATTTCAAGAATACTGACATACAAATTCTCCCCAAACTACAAGGAACAAACCACCAGTTGAACAAAATTTCAGTACTCTGCTTGTTGTTGCCAAGCAGAGGAGAAAGTTGAAGCGTCTTCGTTGGTACTTTTCCTAACTATTTGGCACAGCTGCCCAGAACAACCAAACACGAAGCAACAATAAACAAATTAAAGTAGCGTTAGTCGAGGAATAGATGAAGTTGTCGAAGAAGCAAACTTATGCAAGGCAGTAGTCGCACCACCGAAATGACAACATTTTTGTTAGGCTTCTGCATACTTCTCGTCATGCAGAAACTAATTTGCAAGTAACCAAAACAATTTTAAAGAAATTCTCACTACACCAACACTGAGCAACAACAATGGCGAATACAAAGTAAAATTCCTTGAAAAAACATACATACAAAACCAGAAAGACCCAAATAAAAACAGAAGAAAACTAAAATGAAACTCCAACCTTGGCAAGCGGTGGAGGAATTTTAAATGAAATAAATAAATTGACTGGCGGCCAGCACGGAAGATGCCTCGACCGAGAATAGAGTGATTGTTGTACGGCACGGAAACAAAGGCGAAGGAAACAATGGAGCGCCACAACTATGAGAGAATTTGCGAAATTTCGTTAAGTTTGAATGGACAATACAACAATAAAACAAAATACAATAATAGATGAAAGAATAGAAGCATACGTAAATAACAATATTCGTCGTCATTGTAGTGAAGGATAATATGATGGACAACAACAACAAGGTGCAGGTCCAACAAAAAGTAAGTTAACATAGGTCCAACTAGGACTTGTGCGCTTGGCCGCCAATACACTGACGTGCAACTTTGAAACAAAGAAACTATTGAAGTTTCGTTCAAAGAAATACCAAAAAAAAAAATATATATATATCAACCAAACCACTTCCGTTGCCAACAACAACAAATTGTTACGAAGTCTAGCCGTAACCGAAGAACGGAATTGAGTGAAAGCTTTTCGGTCTTGCTTCTGCTTGTGTTCCCTAACTAAATAAATAAGCAACAACAATAGCAACAAAAAGTGGTTTTAATTTTGCTTCAGCAACAACTGGTGACGGACATAGTAGCCGAGTGGTTGGCAGTGCATTGGTCGGACCAAACATCCGAATTATGGACAATTCACTTTTCCAATGTCAAGGCCTCCGTGTGTTTTACTAACATGCTGACCAAAGCCCCTCATAAACAAACCATCGGCCCTTTAGAGGCGGCTTAGAAGAAACGGTAGGTTCCGCCCTTTGTAGGAAAAACATGAAAACGCACACCACAAATAATAGGAGGAGTTCGCCTGAAAATCACCTTAACTATTATGAAACTCAATGCAAAAATAAAAATGAATTGAACGCTTTATTTCCACTTTGAAGAGAATTCTCTTTCATAGAAACCTTTGACCCTATTGCCAAAAAATTGGGCCAATTGATCTTTTATTCAACGGTCAAATCAATCCTAGACAAAAACAGATGGTAATCACATGATGCGAGGTCCGAACTATAAAGTGGATGCATAAGAACCTTCCAATCAAGGTCTCCAAGCTTCCGGTGAGTCACTATCGATGTGTAGTGTCTAGCGTTGTTCTGTGAGCAAAGCTGGACGCTTCTGAACAGGTCCGAATTAAGTGGATGATTCCCTGCCAATCCCACCAAACACAAAAAAAAACTTTTCTGACTTGGAGATCGTTCGTGTGTGCTCTTCGACCAAGGCAGTTTTCATTTGACGTTACTGAAGTGATCAGCTTTTCATCAACAGATACCATTTGTTCCAGAAATGAGTGGATTTTGTTACGAGTTAATAACGAATCGCAGATTGAAATTCGGTCCATAAGGTTTTTTTAATGTATCCAGCCTTTTTAAGCTACTGAGCAATCCAAACAGTTCTCGCATGATGAAGCGATTTAAATTAAGACAGTGTTTACCCTCGAGGTTGATACAGTTTGCCAGCAAAGCCTCCAGAATACTGCTTTCTGTGACTTTCGATTTGGTCTACAACTTTGACTGGGGAAGCTGTAGTTGAGTTATTGCCAGATTGTAAGCTTTTCAGTGATTTTTTAAAGCCTCTTGTTAGACAATTATAAGTGAATGAAGGTCTAAGTGATGTTCTTCCATTCTTTGTTGTATGAAAAAGTTAAGTTAGGAGTTGTAGTTCTAGCGTTCAAACCAACGTAGGAGCTGGGGAAGCCAGACTATGTGCTCGAAGTCCGGCGATCCAGGTATCGAACCAAGGAAGAATGGTGTTAGATGAGTGGGCTTGCAAAGCCGTGACTCGTTTCATGCAGTTATGGTGTTGCGAATTTCGCGGAAGCCATGCTGGGGGGTGCTGCTGGACTCAGGTGACGAGGGAGCAACGAAAGCAGCACGGCGAGTGATCGAATCTTATCGGGTTTGACAAGGATTTGAAGGTGGGTAAAAACTGCTGTAGTATTTTAAAGGTTCGTTCCACTTACTCCGCTTGTGTTGATTCTATAACGAAATCTCCGGGAACGGCTTGGCGTAGACAGTCGGGCAAACTCCTAGTTCAGTTGAAAAATGTGAGGATATCAACTGCCGGAATAAAACGGACGGTAGCGGTAAGGACTATTTTGCGATATTGACGGTCGCCAATGATAACGGCGGTTTGGAGTGGAAGATGTTCTCAACAAATTCCAGTCCGATCTGCTTTGTTGAAGTGGGCTGAAGTACCTTGCGTTTGCTACACTTTATATAGCCTGTTAGTCCTATGCCGTGCCAGATGAAGGTTCGAATCACTTCGAGGCCGGGTAGGCCGTCAACGTTTTTTACGAGGTTTAAGAGAGTCTTTATGTCTACTTTTGAAACTTTTTCTAGTCTTCTGAACAGCGAAACTTCGCAATACCTAATCATGTTCTCGACAGTGCTGAAGAGAAACAGACGAGGTGATTGATATACGATATTTGGGAGGTTAATCTTGCGGTTATATAATTTCGAAACATTACCCTTGTCGGCTAGTTTCTTCATGCGCACGCGAGGTCTAATCCTTTTTCTTTTTTCGTCTGCAGATGCATCTTGCTTCCTTTTTTAGCTTTCGGTTATCATGTTACTCTCCACTACAGTTCGACATTCCTCATCGTACCAGCCATTTTTTTCCGCGGCGGCTGTGCGTGGGGAGTTTGGGATGCCGGTCGGTGTGCAGGTCGGGAAGAAACCCGTTTGTCTATTTGTTGTGTACGCAGGTTTTCGTCGTCGAGCTTTGTCCTTGTGTTCGTTACCGGTCGTTCTTTGATGCACAGAGACGGAAGCGTATCTTCGCTGCGACAAAATAGTCATCCAAGTCGATGTGAGGTCCTCGGTACGTATGCACATCTAGAATATTGGAAACATGACTTCCGTCAAACACAACATGAGCGATTTGATTGCACGATTTTACATTCGAAGACAACAATGTAGTTTGATGGATTTTTGTGCAGAAATCTTGTAATAAGGACAACCATATTTCGGCCTCCGGCTAATTCGATATACCTTTTTATTATAATTTAATACCTTCTTAATCCACTCTGGCGTTAAAGGCACCAAGCACAATATTCATATTGCAGCAGGAGCAATGGGAAGCATCCTTGGTCTTGGATCGCTCTTCTTTACCGTCGGGACGTGGGTATAAATCAGCGGACGGGGTGAATGAAAGAACTCACGACGGAGTCTTTCTCCCACCACAAATCCAACACCAAATTTCCTTTTTGCTTCTATATATAACCTCTCTAGTCCCGTCCGACACACATCTTGAACGGCGGTGATGTCAGTCTTTAATCTTTAAACTGGGAAGGGACACCTTTCAATTAAGGAACCGGACATTGCAGCTGCATACCCTGAAACTCTGACCTTTAAAATATTTGCAGGAATCGTCATAAAAATGGGAATCACCCATCCGAGGCATTTTGTTGTTTTTCTTTGGAGTATATTTTTCATGTGGTTGGAACCAAACCCTCCGCACAACCGCAACATTATGTTTACTCCACCGACGGTGTTCAGGGTCTTCTTACTCACAGTTATTGGTTATTTGAGCTAAGGAGCAGCAGTTATGTATACACCGATCTAAAGATTAAGTAAAGAATTCTTCGTTGAAATTTAATACAAAGTGTTAAAAATAACGACTTAGAAAGAAAGAAGAAAGAGGAAAGAGAGAGAGAGAGAGAGAGAGAGAGAGAGTACAAGAATACTGCAAATTGAGACAGTCTTAAATCACCTCGAAATGAAAAAAAGAATAGAGGGGGCAAAAGGGGAGAGACAAAACAAAATACACAGATTTCACACAAAATAATGAAGATAAATTCATAGAAAATGTCTGCATTTAATTGCTTCGAAATAATACTATTTACTGACACAAGCATAGCAACCCGTGGCCAATAAGCTGATTTCACTTGACTGGCGCTTAGCTACAAGACATGAAAACTGAAATTTGACAAACGTTTGTCCACCACAAACAGTTGATACGAGCAACAAACCAGCCAAACTGGCGTCCATCAGCTTTCTACTAGCAAAAACAAGATTTCTTCATGATACTTATGTACATTCGATACACTACAATATACTTTTGTTACCAACCAACCAACCAACCAACCAACGAACCACTCACCTCACTAGCTCCAGTTGCATGCCACTGAGCCGATTGAATTCCATGAAAAATCTTATCGCCCACAAAAGATACGAATCATCATGACTGCCCGTGCCAGCATTACGTTCCAGCACGCGTCTGACCTCACGCACCAAGGTATTGTAGGCGGAGCGGAGAATCTCGATGCAGAATTCACGCAAGCACAAACTGGGAAAGATATGAAAAAATATATATGTATATAAATAAATAAATAAATAAAAAATTGATAAATATATATACATATAAGCAAAGAAAAGAAAATATAAAAGTTAAAGAGCTGCGAGTGAAATTGCACTGAGGCAAACAAATACAACAGAGGCGAATAAATGTAGAATAAAGGTATAAAAATGAATAAGAATGAGCTAAATTGAAGGAATAAAATCGCGCTAAAATGAGATTATATGAATAGTGAAAGCCAATGAAGGGACTGGCAGTAATATCTGCTGCAGTTGCCATTATGCGAACGATTTGTGGATGAAGCTGCCGCCTTTTATACGGCTCCATCTCCGGCCATGAATGTAAATGTTAGTTGTGTTAGTATAAATGATATAAATAAATGAATGTTTAGCAAGAATAGCTGATCAAAGAAAGGCAGGTATTTTCTTTAATACGCAAGTAGGTTAAGGAGTTGGGAGATACAAATTGCTTATTTATACTAAGCCATAAGCAATTAAATATGAACCTATTTGGGCTAAGTACATTGAGATATGATTTGGCTCAATTTATGCGTGCTTATTTCCCATTGTCTTCTTCTTTTGAATCTTTTCACATTTAGCAAGTAAAAACAACGCCAGTAACAAAAATGGAACGATAGACGCTTCACTAAGGCATAGAAGTTATAAAAATTCACTGTAAAATTCTCGTAGTTCTTTGGAATTGTGCTTTAGAATTGGAGAATCATCTTGCTTGACGAGGCCCTTTTATACCTCGATGGATGCGGCTATAAGCAAGACTGTCGCATCTGGGGCTCGGAGAACCCAATTTTATTGTTTGGTGCGGTTTTTGGGGGAGGATCGTTGGACCTCAATCTTTAGAAAATGAATACTTTGCGCTATGATTTTTTTTTGCCGGAATTTGACGGTATTGATTTGGATACCGATTACTTTCAACAAGTTGGCGCTACGTACCACAGAAGCAACGAGAAGTTGGGAAAGGTCTTTTCTTGTCGGAAAACCCATACAAAGGAAGCAGCCAGATCATACTCCACCTGATCTGTCTATGGGGTAGAGATTTTCCTCTTCCTGTACTCCAACCGACTGGTACTGCATCGCAAACTTTCAAAGCTGAAATGTGCTCATCCACTCAAACCACAAGTTTACGTCGCTCTTGAAGCCAAGAGCTTGTTATGCACAAGAGTCAACTTAAACTCGGCATCCATGTAAAAAATTATGGCAATAAGAAAAATTATATCAAAATGACAGCGACACTCACGGAAGAGGGATCTGCAAGTGCGTGGCTGGAAAGTACGGCATTGATATACTCATTACCACAATAAGCCCAAGTCCTTGTATAATCTTAGGCTTTTTATGGTATGCATATTTGCAAATATTCATTTCAAGTGTTCTGGGAAGGATGCGGCTTAAGAGCTTATTGTTTACAAAGGTATTAATCTGCTTATGGAACAGATCAGATTACTGATTATCTGATCTGTTTGCATTTTCCCATACCTATTCTCTTGAGTGGTTGCGATTGGAGGCTGTGCAGAGTCAAATAATTCAGATGGCATCTGGTAGAGATCATATTTTCTTACGACCCTAATCCTCAAAAATAACTTCTACAATTTCCCCTACCCGCTCAAAGAATCATAGTTTCTGCTAGAGAGAGCAATCCTAATGGAATTTGCGGCGTTGCCCACCCAGTAAGTTTTTCGGGGATAAATCTTAGTATTGCACATAAGATTTATGCTCTAAAAATATATATAACATTGAGAAGGCTCATACGACAAGAATTGGCGTGTGGCGTCCTTCTTCGTAAGGATTCAGCAAAGCAGGTTCCAAACGTTTCACATGCTCTGAAATTCTCTTTGCAAAGAAAATCGCTCTTCACTATTTTATATTTATATAGCTCCAACGATTTCCACCGATTTTTCAATATGCAAAGGTGCAACTCATATGCAAAGGTTTCGACTAAACGCACGTCTATTCTATATTTCTAGCGTCCAATTATTACCGTTTAAAAATATGATTGTTAAAGTGACGGTGGAACCGTGTCGCGAACACGTTGACCGTTTTTTTGGCGACAGGACACATATGGTCTTGTCCTCCGTTTTTCTCTACTTTGTCAAGCGTGTTTGTTGGGGCTCGTATGCTCCAGATTTGACCTACTTTATTTTGCTTTGCAGCTCTTATGGTTTTCTCCAGCAAAACGAATAATAAAGAAGCATATAAGAAGTCATCTTGTCTGAAGCCTCGTTCGAACGTATCGAAGACTTCGAAGAATTCCTTCTTGATTGATTGCGATACTTTTTTTGTTGCCGTATAAGTTTAGGTATTGCGACGTAAAGGCAGCTACTTTTCATGTCGTCGAAGGTAGCTTCAAAATCAAGGAAGAGGTGGTGTGTTTCGATACTCTTTTAACGGGTTCTTTCCAAGATTTGGCACTTGGTCGATGGTGGATTTAGTAGATCTCAAGCCACAGCAAAGTTAAATCAATTTGTTGACGATGGGCTTTAGTCTTTCACAGACGTTTCTGGATTGAACAGACTTAGATTTCAATAGCCCGCCATGTACTCATTACTTAGTTCTTCGCCCACTATATCTGAATATCCCAGCCGGTAAACCAACAAATCACGCTGTTTTGTTGTTCTTTAGGCTATTCGAACTTGGTTATAGTCAGTCAATGGAACGTATATTTTATCGTCATCAATTAGAAATCCGGATGCACCACCACCAGGTGTTTCAAATTCATTACCAGAGAGCAGGTTAAAGAAGTATTCCGCATAAACAAGAGGTATGATGCCTATTGGACACCAGATGACCTTTTTGCGTAATACATGAATAATCTTTGGTTTTGAGACCTTCTATAAGTCGCCGCGTTAGAATTTTGAGGTATTCCTCTTGCCGGCTGACGTCTTTAGGTCTTCTAACTCACATAAGTAAGTTGCAGACTTATTGTTGAGGGTGTAAAGAACTTTTGGTTAGAAGTTTTAAAACGCAACTGCATCTTTTCATTCGTTTTTATATTTTTGCTGATTTTTTTGAACGCACTCTTTTTGTTGTTAGGCTTATTTTTCGTTTATTGTGCATTTCTTTGGTATGTACGAGGTGTGTTCAAAAAATACCGCTTTTTTTTTTTTTTTTTTTTTTTTTGAAATTATTTATTTATTCATGAATATCTATTTTGTTCCCATCAATTTTCCAATCTTCGAAGCACTTTAAAAAATCATTTTTTTATCTTCCTTCCTTCCTTCGATGCCATCTTTATCTCGTCAATCGTAGTGTAACGTCGTCCTTTCATGGGCCTCTTCAGTTTAGGGAACAAGAAAAAGTCACAGTGGGCCAGATCTGGGGAATACGGTGGCTGCGGCATCATTAGTGCGTTGTTTTTGGCCAAAAAGTCGCGCACAAGCAACGATGTTTGAGCAGGGGCGTTGGCAGGAACTCATGATGCACCACGCCCCTGCAATTAATTTTTTCGTCTATTGTTGAAGTGCTCGGGAGTCCGGCATCGGTCCAAAGTAGCTTCTCCGTATGCCACAGTCAACATTCGGAATGCATCCGCGCACAAAATTTGATACAGGTTCTTTGATCCATTTTTTTGAATAGGTAAAAATCGAAGACAATCGAAAACAAGTGCAAGCAAAGCAGCTGTCAACAATTAAGTGAGCATTCAAAATGGCTGAGCTTATCGGCATAAGTGACAGACATGAGTACCAACATAACGCCACAAAAAAATAGAAATTCGATTATACGCAACCCGCGAAAATTCAAAATTCGCGATACTTTTTGAACACACCTCGTAATTGTGCATGCGACAGCTGTATATTCATCCATCGATGGTACGAACGAAAGTGAGGTCAGAGTGTTTGAATCGAGTGCAAATGTTTCTATGCCACGTTATTATTCACCATTTTTTTATTATGGTTTGTTAGCATCTTATCTGTTTCTTACGGCTTTAATTATTCTGATTTTATTTATTTACTTGTCACTTGCAATGTTTTGATTCAAATGTCTTGCCTTGCGTCTTGTTCTCATATTTCAATGCTTCTTCTTCTTCTGTGTTTATTAGCACCAGCTATTAACCAAAATCATTATATAAATAAATTTCGCTTTTCCTCAGAGTTTGGATTAAATCCTTGTCTATTTACTAAATACTGAACACGTAGCAACGACATTTTTTTGATTGAGTAATTAAAATTACCTCAAATTCGTGTGGACATTTTTCAAACCATTTTGTAGGTAGAACTTTTAAGTCTTACCTACTCTCCATGGCAGATGTGTAATTTCAGAAGTAATTGCGAAATGTTTACGCTTTGTCAAGTAATAAAAGTTACAGTTACACGTTTGCACTCACTAGAGAATTATTTGGTGTTCGCTTCATTTCAGCGAACGGATATTAGCAATGTGTTTGTGCCAACAGTAGCTACTCTGTTAGTTAATCGACAGAATCACATCAATACAATTCATCAATGTCACGCGTTTCTCGTTGCAGCGACGGATTCACATTTGTAGCTTGGTTACGTCACACCAAAATTTTAAATTTTTTTCTAGGTAAACAATAGATTATCTTGTTCTGTAGGCCAAGGATAGATGAAAGAAATTAAAATAAATAAAAAAAACCTGGAGAGTTCACATTTGCTTATGTATGTATATATTGGGTTGCCCAAAAAGTAATTGCGGATTTTTTAAAAGAAAGTAAATGCATTTTTAATAAAACTTAGAATGAACTTTAATCAAATATATAATTGCCATTTTGTTCGATAACCTTTTGCCATCTTCCTGGCAAATTTAGTATTCCACGCTCATAGAACTTCTGGCCTTTATCTGCAAAAAACTGAACCAAGTGCGATTTTATAGCCTCATCATTGCCGAAAGTTTTACCATTTAAGGAGTTCTGCAAAGATCGAAATAAATGGTAGTCTGATGGTGCAAGGTCAGGGCTATATGGTGGATGCATCAAAAGTTCCCAGCCAAGCTCACTCAGTTTTTGGCGAGTGACCAAAGATGTGTGCGGTCTAGCGTTGTCCTGGTGGAATATGACACCTTTACGATTGACCAATTCTGGTCGCTTCTCCTTGATGGCTGTATTCAATTTGTCCAATTGTTGACAGTAAACATCCGAATTAATCGTTTGGTTCCTTGGAAGCAGCTCAAAATATACGACACCCTTCCAATCCCACCAAACAGACAGCATAACCTTCTTTTGGTGGATATCAGCCTTTGAAGTGGTTTGAGCTGGTTCACCATGCTTGGACCATGATCGTTTTCGACTAACGTTGTTGTAAACAATCCATTTTTCATCTCCAGTTATGATTCGTTTTAAAAACGGATCGAATTCATTGCGTTTAAGGTGCATATCACAAGCGTTGATTCGGTGTGTTAAATGAATTTCTTTCAATACATGTGGTACCCAAATATCAAGCTTTTTCACCAGTCCAAGACTTTTTATGTGATAATGAACGGTTGATTTTGGTATATTTAACTTCTCTCCTATCTCACGCTCAGTTACATGACGATCCAATTCGATTAATGCTTTGATTTGGTCATCATCAACTTCATTTGGCCGACCTGAACGTGGCTCATCTTTAAGTGAAAAATCTCCAGAACGGAATTTGCGAAACCAATTTTGACACTGTCTTCCTTTTAAGGCTTCATCACCATACACATCTCGTAACTTTTTAGCAACCTGCTCCGCGTTTTTTCCTTTACGGAAATAATAAAGTAAAATATGACGAAAATGCTCCTTTGTGGGCTCCATATTAAAACTGACGACAAACAAACAAATATAAACAAAATTTCGCGCACTTTTTTTCTAAAGCAAGCTAACAGTAACAGCTGATAACTGACAGAAGAAAGAATGCAATTACAGAGTCGCAAGCCGTTGAAAAAATTTGTCAACGCCGACTATATGAAAAATCCGCAATTACTTTTTGGGCAACCCAATATTATGCAAGATATTAGGTGTAGTAAAAAGTTCGTTCGGTTTTTATCCAAGACATGGTGTTAATATCCTTTCTAATAGTGTTTCCTGTCGCATCATGTCATACCATAAGTCGCTGAAAACGTGTTTATTCTCGCTAAAAGTTTGTCTTTGACAGTTTTTCAATTGATTGACTCAGTACATTGTAAGCGCTCGTCAAAGATGGACACCAGCAAAGAGAAAATTCGCTATATTTTACAATTTTTTTTCGATCAAGGCGAAAAAGCAGCTAAAGCGGCTGAAAAAATTAATTTAGTTTATGGGCCCGATACTGTAAACTAACGTGTAGCATAAGAGTAGTTTGCTAGGTTCCGTTCCGGTAATTTGGATGTCAAAGATCCACCACGCGTCGGGAGGCCGGCCGTCGAAAATTGCGATAAAATCATGGAAATAGTGGAAACAGACCGGTCATTACGACAATATGGAGCACAAACGGTCGTGGTCAAAGCTCGGTAAAGCGGTCCGGATGGTGGCCAAGACCTGATTGTCGGCCAGGAAGGTTTTGCTATATGTTTGGTGGGATTTGCAAGTAATCATCTACTACGAGCTGCTCCCCTATGACCAAACGTTCAATACGGTCTTCTACTGCCAACAAATGAACCGCTTGAAGAAAGCACTCATTCAGAAGAGGCCATCTTTGATCAACAGAGGCCGAATTGTGTTCCATAAGGACAACAGCAGGCCACACACGCCTTTTGTGAAGCACCAGAAGCTTCATGAGCTCGGACGGGAGGTCCTAATGCATCCACCTTATAGTCCGGTCCTGGCGCCAAGTGATTACCAGCTTTTCCTGTCCATGATGAACGCGCTTAATGGTGAGAATTTGGCCTCAAGAGAAGCCTGTGTAAATGGCTTTCCGACAATGCAACAAGTTTACGAACAAAACGTCGCATATTTGACTTAAATCGGACAAATGTACACGAAGTTATCATATTTTGAAAATAGTCCAATGCAAAAAAAATGTAACTATAAGTGAATTAGAGACACTCTTCTTAAGAATGACCCATGCAAGCGATTCTGACGTTCCTGACTTTAAAACACTTACCCGGCATGAGCAGTTCCTCAACTGAAAAGCTGTCGCTGGACAGCTGGCTCATGTCGTCGTAAAAGTTAAGACTACCATCACGAGACACGACGACCGGAAGAAGATGACCTCCTGTGATATCTACGACAGCGTGATATAAAAAAACACACACCTCGAAGTTGAACGTCTCCCCACATCCCACATAAAAGCAAAGCTCTTTAGCTCATCGTTGATTAGCACTCACGCACCGACAATGTGATCAAACACGATTCCTAGAACCCATGAGCTGCTTCCGACATCAACATCTCAACATCTTGCTTGGCGCTTTTAACGTCAGTGTGGAAAAACAGGAAATCTTCACCAAAACGGCCTGAGGCTGAAAGAAGGATTAAATCCCAACGTCAGCGAACTGATTGGACTTTACCAGCGGTACTTTAGATCTGGTAAATCCACCATTGATTAGGTAATTGACATTTCGTCTAAATAGATGAAAGCACTATAGTTTTGAAAGTATTCAGTGCAGTAGTCGGTAGTTGAGGCCGAGAGGAATAGGCAGGAGAAGACCAAAACTTCGTTGGAAGTAACTAAAGCAGAGCGATATGGTTTTACTGGATATTTTCAAATGGCGCGCTATTGTTAATTCGTTCGGGGTTGGACTAGAAAAGGGTTCCTAAATTTAGAAATTTACGGAACACCTTTGAGGTATATTACGCATGTTGTGCTGTTATCTCCATAGCAACAGCCCGTTGAGGAATAATTTGCATGACTCTAAAGTCAAAATGCTTGCTTCGGTCTGCAAATTTCGAAAAATTACCGTAATTTGTTTCAGTGCTTTGCTGTTGGCAAATGTTATCACCTGCCGAAAGCTCTAACTCTAGATTTGAGACCGAAGGATAAAATATTAGAAAAAAAGGATACAGCAAAAGTAATTGAACACTTTTCGTTGATTTGATTGAATTTGAAATGAAGCTAATTTGAGAAGCAAATGCGAGGGTAGATAGACAGGTAGATACATCGGTATATCTTTCTTCACGTGTGTGTGTGTGTTTTTTATTACCTTCGGTAAACACAAATATTTAGATTAAAAAATAGAAGAAAGATTTGCGCAAATAAAGAATGTTGCACGATACACATGTGCAAGGCAATGGGAAATATTGCAAAAACCGCACTTAATTGAATTTCCTCAGCTGCGCGTAGCACTTTTTATTTAATTTTCAACATTCTGTTTTCTCGGTCTTTTTTTTTCTCTTTTTATTTCTTTCATTTCTTTCATTTTTAATATAATATATAAATTTACTTTTATTTCACTTACCGCACAGAGAATGCACTACGTCGTGTCAACTGAACCTCTTCCTTAATGTGGCGAAATGAACGCTTCTGCTGATTCTTCTCACGATCGAAATCAATCGACATAACACGTTCCAATGGCTGATGGCAAATAATGTCGCGATCCGACACGGATTTCATATTCCGTATTACATACGTGCCGCCAAATCGTGAATGTCGCGCCACAGGCGGTTTGGTCTGATGCCGTTGACGTTCCCGACGACGCGCTGCCAACAATTCCTGTTCGTCGCGTTGCTTCTCGGCAAGACTGCGTTGCAAGGATGCATCCGCTAGGGATTCGGCTGTCTGTTGAATGGGAAATTAGCGTCAGTTATACAGTTATAAATGGTGTATGTATGTTTATACGAGCAATATTTAATACGCCCTGTTGGCTGAGGTGGAAGCTAAGGTGCGGTTAAAGTTGCGGCTCATGGTGGTGTTAACGTTGCTGAGTGTGATTCTTTCCGACCGCTGTGTGCCAGCAATGAGCGTGTTGCTCGCAATTTTTAGTCGACAACGCACACTCGTCTCATTGCGGTGGGTTAATACTGTCAGCGTGCTGCACCGTGAGCCACTGGGCTTACATTTAATTGAACATTTGATGACGATGACAATTATAAATCCTTCGGAATGAAAGATTGAAAGTGTTAAATTGACATTTTTCACAAAGGAAGACTAAGCGATTGGCAGTAGTCAGCAGAAGGTCGTGTTGGGAAAGCTTAGTCAGGATGTTTCCGCGATCCGGATCTTTTTTAGTATTTGATGGGAAACGATGTCCCAATGGGAGAAAGTGTAAATCTTCAAGTTATTATCACACCCGGAGGGGTGATTAAGTGGCTTTGATGAGTCGTCTAAATGCAGACTTCGAACCTCGCTTTACAATATAAAAAATAAGTTTTTCTTCATTGGCGTTGGTATCGCCTACGCGACTATAGCTAATTGAACAATTACGCGCCAATCAGTCCTTCGTTTCGCTGTTTGGCGCCTGTTGAATATAACAAGTGAAATCAGTTCGCTCTTAAACACATCCTGCCAGCGAAATGGAGGGCTTCATCTTTCTCTACTTCCACCGACGGGTATACTTTCAAAGCTGGAGCGCTTTCGTCCATTCGGAAGACATGACCTGGCCACGGTAGCCGCTGTCTCCTCACTCGCCGCTGGACTATATCAATGTCATCGTACCATAGTCTGCGGTGTCCGCTGTTGCCAAGACCATAAATCATTCGCAAAATTTTTCTGTCGAAGACTCTCAGGTCCGCCACATCAGGTGTTGGCTTGTAGAGTTTGATCCTTGTTCGTCGAGAAAGGATTTTATTATTAAATTGTCTATTCAGTCAAAGGTAGGACCAGTTGGCAAATGTGATTCTACGTTGGGTTTCAAGGCTAATTTTTTTCTTGGTGTTGATACTGGTCCCTAGAAAGTCGGAATTATCTGCGACCTAGAAGTTATGACTGTTAACAGTGACTTTGTTACGTAATGTATAAGGACAAGAGTGATAAAGAAGGACTCCGACGTGAATTAAGCGCGGTCGTCTTTTTTCTCAAGGTAGAACGTATAAGGAATGAATAAGAACGAGAGAAAATTATTTAGGTTTTCCCTACACATTGAAAATTAAAGTCACAAGTCTCTACGATGGTTAACAACTACTCAGATTTTTCGCAGCCTATCATCGTTGATCATTAACATCACATGATAGTTAATGCGAAATTTGTAATGGAACGGCTCGCCATGAGCTCTCTGGGACTTTTAAAACTAGGAGCGCAGAGAAAAACTTGTAAATTACGTATCAGCCAAGTTTGGCGAAATAAGATATACTTTCAAGTTTTGCGACATGGCAGTGATGGTCAGGAACCATTTGAAAATATTATTATGTATTACAGGTATAACTGGCGCTTTGTAACCGCTCTTCCAATTTGTGGTTGTGCGACAGAGTGTGACCCCAACCAATGGACGGACCTACAGTTTATACTAAGCCGCCTCCGAAAGGCACAAAATTTTTTTATGAGGAGCCTTTATTTTATGTCAGAAATACACTCGGAGGGCTTGACATTCACTGCCAAAGAGGTGACCGTAATTAGAAAATTTCATTTAATTTTTTATTTAAAATGGATGTTGGTCGTACCAAGATTTGATCCCGGACCTTCCGAATGGCAGTATGCAAAGATTATGTGATCGAAAGTTGGGTAAACAAGGAATGATTGCAAGAGAGGAAAGATTGTATCGGAAGAAAATCGCAAAATTCTTGATGTTTTTGTTGTTGCAACCACAATAATATACCTAAAAAAGGATTTTGAAGAAGGTTGCAGTAGTGACAGTCCTTGGCGGGATAAAAATCCGACTCGTTTTGGGATAAAGTCTGGACTGCCGCCGGTACTATAAGATTCTAATTGCTTCTTAAGACAGGCAAGCCTTAAATCCCGTATCGCTATTACAACCTTACTTAAAATAGTACTTTTGACATAACATATGCTATCGGCAGCTATGTCTCTTCAACTTTTTTTGGTGTGCTATGGTTTTCGTTGTCAAGTTTGAAGAAATTGACATTATCTGCATTAGATTAAAGAACGAAAGCATCTTTGTAATCTAGTCAGGTTTCGCAAAACTTACAGTCGCCTTCTACTTAATTCTGGTCTGCGGGAGACATTTTAGTTGCATACTCCTTGCATGAAGAGCGTCTCGCTACATGAAGACCCCACACACATTTTCTTGCAAGGAGGCTGTTAAAGAAAATCAGGAACAAAACACAAATCAACAGTGCTAAACGGACATTGAAAATTATTTGCGCTTATTTAAGCACCGCTCAAAGTCTTTAAATCATACACACTTACTTACATACGTTAGCCAGACACCTACCAAGGAGCGGCTAACAGCTTCCAACGTCAACTCCACACACCCATCTATCCTTATCACACATACGTATACATACAAACATTTAGCAATAGAGTAGTAGTAAGTGTACTTACTTGTTCGCGATAGAGCAGACATAAAATCTCTAAACCGTGCAAATGAAATTGATGCTCATCCGATGATGACACCACAAACAATACCAAATCCATAAGACCCGACTGATGCAAGGCCCAGATAACCTGGTCATGCAGACTGGCATCATTATCGGCACGACACTCCGCCTCCGGGTTGGCTGGCACTTGAAGCACGTTCCGTATCAACACAAGAACGCGTTCAATCATCAAGCTCTGCTCCTCACTACGAATAGCCCAATCCTGTGGAGTAAGTAAGAAAAAAAAACAAAAGAAAAGGAGAAATGTAAGAAGAAACCCAGGCGCATTAAAAACAAGTACAAGTAAATAATGATAGCAAATAAAATACGAAATTAAACAGAAGCGGTGGCATTAAAATTTTGCAAGTAATAAATTTTTTTTATGCGCCCGACTTAAATACATACATACATACATAGATAGATATCTACATAAAAAAGTAGGCCTGCAAGTTTAGTGAATTGCCATGCAAATCTCACGAAACGAAACATAAAATGCAATAATAAACGTAAAAAGATTACATTCAGTGTTCTTCTACAAGAAACGGCAATTGAGTAGGCCGTTACAAACATTGTATTTGCTATTAAACCGTTGTCAAGCAGAACGAATGTACCGTCATTAGTTAAGCCATCGTTATAAATCTAAAGACGAAATCAATTTACTTCCGTTTCGTTTCGGGCAGCGGGGAACAGTGAGAGACGGCTAAAATGACAACGATGAGAGTTGAGGGGAAATAGTCGAAAGTAAAAATAACAAATAAGTGAAAATTCAGTAGTCGAATGAAGTGCAAAAATTCTCAACCCACCGCCTGTACGCAGGGTCTATGAGCAGTCATGGTTTTAAAATAAACTCGCATAATGCGTAATAAACACACACGCACGTACACCAAATAACACTAAATAAAGACTGTCCGAGTGTTGAAAATTCAGAAGTGGAATAGTTACCCGGTAAGAAGTTTCGAAATTGCAAATGATAGCAAACTTTAATCGTTTATCTATTACAAGGCAGACAGCGTGGAATGTATGTAGAAAGTTTGACTTGCCAAATCCATTACTGGGGAAGCCAAAGTGGAATGCGTTCCTCTTTGAGATTCACTTAACTTCTTTTTGTTGTAATAGCATTTGAAACTTTTATAGTTATGCCATTTTTTACGTATTTAGTCGCTTGTTGGACGCGTCATTTCAGTCTATTTCGTGCCATGAATAAACTGACACCGATAAAACGTGATGATTGTGAGCTTTGGCTCAATATCATGATGAGTTATGAATGGCGCGGTTAATAAGCAAAACATGCTGCTTGTGAGATATTTAAGGAGCCTCTCTATGATCAAAAAGTGATCGTTTGGTGCTTCGTATTGGGCAAAAAGATCATCAGGCACCAGAATGGCAACGCCGTTATATAGAATGGCCTACTACTAGTCCCACCATGAAAGAGTCATAGCAACACTATGTTTGCCCGACGCATCACATTCACATCACAAGGGACATTTGAAGAGTAGGACTTACTTCGACAAGCAGCAGACCATAGCTCAGTTCCAAGCTAATATTGGCAGCGAAAAATCGCTTTTAACCACCGAGACGCTAGAAAATATGATGCAAAAAGCACGAAAAATGGCATCTTTTTCATAAAAATTATTTAAAGAACTAGACGACTATAGCTTTCGGGCTATTAAATTAACGAAGAGAAAGAAAGGTATCTAATACTGAGCCTGATATTGGGGTGGTTGAAAGTGTCTAACTAACTCTTCTTGTGCTCACTTATTACTAGGGAAGACAATTCGTATAAAATAGGCATTCTCCTTTCCTTCTTAATATTTAATAAAATAATAAATGAGAGCTATTGTAATATGTGCTCAGGGAAGGCAAAGTGGACTGCATATTTAATTAGGGTTTTCTTCCAAGAAATGGTTGGCATTGGTTGGTTGAGGGACCTGACCTATCAGCGGCTGCACCATAGAGAAGGCTCATTGTGCTTTCACGACCTAAAAGGCCTAATTTTTATAAACATTTGAACATTTTAATCAGGGGTGTTAGAGAAACAGATTGTTGTCGGAATCTGAATTGAAACCGACAAAATTCTGTTGAAGGGGTTACACATTCCCATTATTGATTTTCATATCGGTTTCATTTTTGAAACAACATTTGTGTAGATTTTAGTGTTACAGAAACCGATTTATAGCTTTAAATGTCAGATTTAAACCGTAAATTTCTTTGCAGGCGGAAATTTAATAAAAATGTAAGGCATAACAATGCATTTTACAACCAGCAATGCCTGGGTACGGTACTTGCTGTAAAAATGGTCATGATCAAATGGTTTACATTGTCGTTCTTTCCTAAAATTATACAGCATGGACAATTCAAACGGTGAAAAGCCTTCAGCATTTCTATTTTAACCACAGAGACTGTAGGTCGCGCTAAGGAGATACCACAGACCCACAGACCGTTAATAGGAGTCTTTCGCGATGTGACTGCAAGTTGGAGCACATGTGGGATAGACAGCTTATCTAACTGGTCTTCAATGACATCTAGGACTATAACAAAGGCTTTTTCGTTAAGACGATATTGGTCTATGAATCTACACACAAACTAAATTCGTAGTAGCAATAGTCGAAGACCAATTGCACTTACATCCATTCTGGCAGCCTTCTGGATTATTTCTTAATATCCTTCAAATCATCAAAATTTTGGTAACTTTTTATGAAGACGAAGTTCTAAATCAAGCGCAATATTTCCCTGATGACAATATTTTTTTGGTTTGCCATGAAATGCTGGTATCACCAGGTTGCTTTGTAAACTTACTCTGGTGCACACGGCTACCTTGGAGTGTGACTGTGTGCATTTTTAATGGTTATTGCGAAGCAGACTTGTATGGAATCCTAGGAATAAATACAGATGGACCTTGAAAACAAACTGTTTATGTAGTACCTTCGCCTGCCGTTCGATGTAAGACTTTCACCTGTAATGAGTAAGTGCATCGCCGTAACAACTCCAACTCTTAATATCAATACGTGAGTTGTGAGATCGAGAGGCTTAAGTGTGTTCAGGAACTATACCGAATAAAATACTAATGGCATCGTCAGCGATTATCACTGAGTGGCGGACTTATACTGATATTGGATTCCTTTGAATGATTTTAAAAGCAATTTATTTATGACTGACGGTTTTTTGGTGTTAAGATGGCACGCTCGCTTAACCATTCTGCGGACTTATCGTTATTATTCTTTATGCTTAGGTAAATTTCAGTTATAAGTTCTTCTTCTAGCGCTCATCGTTCAGTTTTTTTCTTTGAAGGCCATAAATCAAATCACTTCTTGCATCTTTTAACATTCGCTTGCACTTCCCGGAGCCTTACTGGTCAAATCTGTCGAAATTCGCCTGCTGGCATTACAGTAACGCCTTAACAATGACAGATAACTACTAATCCTGCTTGGATACTTGAAAGTATATATTTTGTAATAGATATGATTTGTTAAAAGCTAGTACTTCACTACTAATCCCACTGATTTCTTTCACATAAGTGGTGCCCCTAAATGGTATTTTGTCCAGTTCCCAGAAGAAACATATTCCCCATGACAATTTAGGATGTGTGTGGTATGGATATGTAAATCAAATGATTTAAAAATATATTGGATATTTTCCTTCCACTTTGACAGGCGCTTAACCTGGAGACTTCACATTGCTTCTAAAAAGCTGCAACTTAAGCAACAACGTTTTACATTGGCTTTTAAACAACAAGTCTGGTCTTAGCCTTAGCAACAAAGTCCTCTTATACAATGAATTCCAATTATTGGCCACAGCTTGCGCAGTATTTGGTTCAAAGGTTCCAGTCGAAAACGTTAAGAGTAACAAAGGGCGCACCAGGATATATATATATATAATTGGCACTTTGTAACCGCTGAAACGACTTTCGGCCAAGCTCCTCCTCCAATTTGTGGTTTTGCGTCTTGATGGTTTTCCAACAAAAGGAGGGGCCTACAGTTACGAGGAGTCTTTATTTCATGTTCGAAGTATACTCGGAGAGGTAGACATTCCCTACCGAGGGGCGACCGCAATTAGAAAATTTAACTTAATTCTTTATTTAAATTAATTTTCTATAACTTTTGGATGTTGGTCGTACGGGAATTTGAACCCGAGTCTTCCGAATGGCAGTACCCAATGCTAACCCCTCGGCTCCCGCGGTCACCATGCGTAATGAAAATATCCATAGAGACCTAAATCTAACTACCATCAAAGAAAAGATTGAAATTGCAGCACAAAAATACTTAATAAAACTGCGTAACCATCCGAGCCCTTCGGCTCCTACCTAGAACACCCCCTCCAAGTTTAAGGTCTATACCATGATTGCTTTTGACTGTGGGTTGATCCGTCTGTTATTCAGAACAGAGCCTTGCATTAATATATATAGATTATAAATGCAAATTTTTCACTTTATTGGATATGAAAATGAGTTTTTGCTGGGTATTTTTTATTTCTGAACCAAAAAGTGTGTCTAATTAAATTAAATCGCCGAAAACTATTATATTTTGCAGTCATAGAGATTTAAGGTTTGGAAAATTAAATGCGTTAGAAAAATACTCAATTACATCTTTACACATATTTTTTCCTACAGGTCCTGACTTTACCCTGGATTTATACTATTTTTCACGCCGAATATAGATTATTTCACCAACCACACCACAAGACATGCACCAATAAATACTCATATTTATATCTAGAAGGCCAATGATGGAGAAAACCTTCATTAGATACCTGTAGGAAAAGTATTATAGTTACGTCAGATGACTGCGGCAAAAGCATTTAAAATGTCAAGCTGTGGAGTTGTGTGATACAATTCTTCTTTCTCTGCTTCATCGGTATAGGCACCACTTCCACAAATATAGCCAAATCAACAATATGGCACGTCTTTTATTTCCTCTTTCCACTGTTTGGTGCCAATTGAAAATACCAAGTCAAAGCAGTCTTCAAGTCTTCTTTCCCTGTTTCCAGCAGTGGCTGTATACTATCAAGTGGGGGAGATTTTATCTATTTGAACGACAGTAGCTCAGCCACTGAAGCTTTATTAGCTAAAGTGAGGGACTTAATATTTTTCAGTATTTTTTTTTTTCTTCCTTAATTACTATGCCGGAAATGAGCGCAAGCTCTCTACTCACTTCCCTCCGCGAATTTTCTTTTACGGCCTTAATCGAGTCGAAAGGGGTATCAAGGAGTGGCAACTTAAGTTTTGGT